CGGAGAAGCTGGGGGCTCACAGAGAGGCAGGCACTAGCCCTCCTGGGGCCAGGAGGCTGGGCTGGTGGAGGTGGGAAGGCTGGGGAGGAGGCATGGATGAGCCTTGTGACTCAGGGCTGTGTGCGGAAGAGCAGCTGGGCAGGTCAGGAAGGGGCTGAACTTTGGCCCTGGATGTACTGCTGGTGGTGAATCTGGGTCCCTGACAAATTCCCACCTCCTCCTGCCGCTGGTGTCCACACTCCCAGCCCAGAGCGCACCCAAGCCCACACGAACTCTCTTGACCAAGAAAAGTGTCCCAGGATGGGCTGGTAGCATCTTTATATTGAGGGCTTTGAGCCCCTGGGGAGCTCCAGAGACCCATGAGGCCTTGAGGTTCCCTGTCACAAACACCGCTCCTGTGCCCCATGGCTTCCTGGCTGATTGTCCGCCCCCTCCTGCCTGTCCCCAGGTGTGAGTGCACACCAGGTTACACAGGTGACAACTGCAGTGAGAACCAGGACGACTGCAGAGATCACCGCTGCCAGAATGGCGCCCAGTGTGTGGATGAAGTCAACAGCTACTCCTGCGTCTGTGCTGAGGGCTACAGGTGAGCAGCCCTAGATGCACCTTGAGGGACTGACTCCTCCTAGCTGTCAGCCTCTGGGGAGAGAATAAGGGTCATGGCCCTGGAGTTTTGCCTTGGCATTTTGACTCTGGCTATGCCCGTCACAGCTGTGTGGCCTTGGGAAAGTTTCTTAACCTCTCTGAGCATAGACAAAGGGTCCACAACCTATTTAATGAAGGGAGTGAGAGGTGGGTCCAGCTTAGTGGGCAGTGCCCCATCACTTACCTGCCCAAGGCACCTCTGAGTACACATCCTGCCATAAAGGTCATTTATTTCCTCATCCGGGCTCTCCTGGGAGGTTGGGAGAGGAGAGCACCTGCCCTCCTTCTGGTTCCCTACCTCCCATGCTCTGCTTCGGTCTTTGTTTTAAATAGTTTAATTGAAATATAATTATTCATTAACCATATAATTCACCTAGTTCAAATGTATAATTCAATGGCTTTTAGTATATACCTAAAGTTGTGCATCCATTACCACAATCAATTTCGGAACATTTTCATTACTCCAGAAAGAAATTCCATACCTCTTCTCTGTCACCCTAACTTGCCTCCTTCCCAGCTCTAGAAAACTACTAATATACTAATATCTGTGTCTATAGATTTGCTTATTCTGGATATTTTATATAAATGGAAGCATACAATCTGTGGTCCTTTGTAACTGGCTTTCACTTAGACTCACGTTTTCGGGGTTCATCTATATGGTATCATGTATCAAAACGTCATTCCTTTTTATGGCCAAATAATATTCCATCGTATGGATATATCGCATTTGTTTATCCATTGATCTATTGGTAGACATTAGAGCTGTTTCCATGTTTTGGCTGTTGTGAACACTGATGCTGCAGATTGTTGTAGCATATATCAGAACTACCTGTTGGTAGTAATGTCCCCTCTTTTATTTCTTTACTTTAGTAATATGAGTCTTCTCTCTTTTGCTTGTATCTTCAGTCTCAGTTTTGTTTTTTGTAAAATGGGACATGAGCGGTGAGTGATTCTTAAACTTTAATGTGCACATGAATCACCTGGCATCTTGTTAAAAATGAGATTCAATAGATTTTCCATTTCTGACAAGTGTCCAGGTGACATCGATGCTGCTGGTCCAGGGACTGCACTTGTAGCTCAGGATCCTTCTGGCTCTTAGTTCTCTCAGGAAAAGTGTTCATTAGGAGCATTTTCTGTCACCTTAAGGATCCAGTTTCCCAAGAAGTTTAGTGAGTTTGTCTTCAGGACGTGGGGGGAAGATGACTCTTGGCCCCTTCACCCTGCCCTGTCTGACCTGTGTCCTTTCATTCTCAGTGGGCAGCTCTGTGAGACCCCTCCCCGCCCGCCTGCCCCCAGGAACCCGTGTGAGGGGACTGAGTGCCAGAACGGGGGCAACTGTGTGGACCAGGGCAGCCGTCCCGTGTGCCAGTGCCTCCCGGGCTTCGGCGGCCCCGAGTGTGAGAAGTTGCTCAGTGTCAACTTCGTGGATCGGGACACTTATCTGCAGTTCACTGACCTGCAGAACTGGCCACGGGCCAACATCACGCTGCAGGTGTGTGCCCAGGGCGCCAGTCACCGAAGGGGGTCAGACAGCGGGGGACCTTGGTCTCAGGTCAGCCCATGAAGACTCATCCCTGCCTAGGACAACGGGGAGACCCCTGGGTTGGTCACAACTCTCTGGATGTGGGTGTCACTATCTCAGCTCAAACTCGTTTAAGCATAATTGGAAATGTCATTGGGTCACAAAATCAGTCTCAGAGAAGGGCAGGCGCGGAGATGGTCTCGTGAGTGACTGGATCCAGGAAAACAAACTTACCAGGACCCTCTCCCACCACCTCTTGTCTCAAATACTCCTTGGCTTCAGCCTCCACTGCTGCAGACAGGCTTTCTCCATGTGGCTGGAACATGGGCAGCGTTAGCTCCGGCCCTGTGTCTTTAACCACAAGCCCTTGCGGTCCCTTATTTATTTTGCGGTTTCATGTCTAGATTCCATCTCAGAACATCATATTGAGGGGAAAAATAACATTGGTGAATAAGACAGAGATTCTGCTAAAGACTTCTTGGGTAGGAAGAGGGGAGGAGAGTATGTTGCACATCACACGATAAAATATTTAAAATTTCTCTTTAGTCACCTCTCTCATTTCCCAAAATTTTGTTTCCTACGTTTTTGTCCCCTTCTCCTCCTTTTACTGCCTCTCAAACACATTCACTCTGCTCTCCTCCCCTTTATCACCTCTCCCAGATCCTGTCCCCTGGCATGGTCCACGCGGCAAGACCACAGCTAGCTTAACTGCTCCCCAAGAGAAAACTAACCCAAAACGTTTCTTGCCGTTGCCTCAGGAACATCTTTAAAGAGGCTCAGTTTTCCCCACTATTTCCATTGCTGGCTCTTTCTTGCTCGCCCTAGTTGACAATCTCAGGAAAGACCTCCGATTGGCCTGCCTTCAGCCACATGCCCATCCCCGAACCAACCGCCAAGTCCAAGGAGATGGGCTGCTGTGATTGGCCGAGCCTGGGCCGTGTGTCCCCTCTATAGACCAGGGGGCAATGTCTTTACTAGAAGAAAGGGGCAGGGGGGTGGGTGGCAGGAGAGGGACTGGCGGGAAGAAAGGAGCATGGCTCCAGCAGCATCACAGACGGGTCTCCTGCCCAGGGCACAACGCCAGCTGCTCGTGCAGATGCAGAGATAGGCCCTACCTCCTGAGTGGCTCCTTCCAGGTGTGGGTGGCACTGGCCTTCCTGAGAGCCTTCCTGAACTTGTCCTCTCTGTAGGTCCCACCCTGGCCGCCCCCGCAGTTCCCTGAGGTCCACAGGGTGGGCTGTCCCGCAGCCAGTGTTACTCTCCTCCCCGAGGGGGTGAGCTGAAGGGCTCTTACATGCCCCCGTTGGCACACGGTTTTCAGGCCTCAGCTGGCCCATCTGCCCTCTGCTGCCTGGCCCTGGCCACACTGTCTCTGGATAGGATTTGAACAGGAGCCGCCAGCCTCTGTCAGCACTCCGTGGAGGGCATGTCATCTGGGCAGGCAGTGGAGGACTGTCGTGCACACAGAACCTCTCTTCCAATTGTGGGTCCTCCATCGGTTCCACCTCCCAGCCTGTGCCGCTGCCGCATGGGACGGGATGGAAGAGAAAGTGCCATTTCCTATCAGGTCTCCACGGCAGAGGACAACGGGATCCTGCTGTACAATGGGGACAACGACCACATCGCAGTGGAGCTGTACCAGGGCCATGTGCGCGTCAGCTACGACCCGGGCAGCTACCCCAGCTCTGCCATCTACAGGTAGGGCTTCCTCATGTCCACCAGCCGCTCTCAGGGATCTCCTGGGCCAAGAGCAGATCATTTTGGGGACCCCCAGAACCTGAGCCGCCTGAGTGGAACAGGCATTCGCATCATTGAGTGTAGCTCAGCTTGGGTCTGAGGCTCTCTGAGGCCTGGGCAGTGGTCCTACCCTTCCCCATCTCACCACCACCTCACAGGGGGCTCCTGAGTGGGGAGGGGGAGACTGATTAAGATGGAAAGCCCTGCCCCAAACTTCTCAACTTTCTCCAGGGAATCCCGAGAAAGGGAGCAGGAAGGACTAGACCATAGGCCTCCGAGTCCCCACAGTCCCCACCTTAATAGATGTGATCCCTTGTGAAGCAGCTGCTGGACCAGTGGCTTTTCTGGGAAAGTGTCCAGGTAGGGATGGGCCAAACTGAAGCCCATTCCCTGGGGTGGGGGCACCCCATCTTCTTCCAGTGCTGAGACGATCAATGATGGGCAGTTCCACACTGTTGAGCTGGTCACCTTTGACCAGATGGTGAATCTCTCCATCGATGGCGGCAGTCCCATGACCATGGACAACTTCGGCAAACACTACACACTAAACAGCGAGGCCCCCCTCTATGTGGGAGGTGAGGACCTGCCCTGCCCCAAGCCTTTCCATCAGGTGATGGTGACAGCCATTCCAGGTGGGGGCTCTGTTGTTCTCTGGCCTGCAGCTTGCCAGGAGAGCTGGCAGCAAGGCCATTGAACTGTGGGGTACGTTCCAGGTGTGGGAGAGGGTCCTAGTGAATGGCCAAACTGCTGGTGGATTGTTCTCCCCTGCCTGGAATCAGGCTGCTGCCCACCCAGCCCAGGCTAATGAAGAAAATGAGTGACCGAGTTGGGCCTGAGGCCTGGCCTTGCAGGGTTGGGGGCGTGGGGGGATGGGAGCTGGGATTTTCCCAGCTACCTTCTGCACTGTGGCAACTTTCCTTTTGGTTTTGGGTCAGAAGGGGCTTGTCAATTGTTCAGGGTCCATCCTCAGTCTTGGGGTCCTCAGAGGCCCAGAGTCACTGCAGTAGGCCCAGGCACGGAGTCTCTGCATTAGCTGGGGACCACCCAGCTGGCCTTACAGACTTTGCAGCTAAATGGCCCTTTCCACCACCTGCAGACATTTCCAGGTCTGGATGAGGTAGGTCCCCGGATGCAGCGGGGCTGTCTCAGCACTGCCTAGACGTCAGGCAGATTTGAGGGATAGAGAACCCGAGCTCTAAACCCAGCTCTGCTGTTTACTAGTTGTGCAGTGTTGGACAAGTCACTGAGCACTGAGCACTGAGCATCCAATAGGGTGTAGTGACTCCTGCCTCAGAGAGTTGCTGTGAAGTGGTGACCACAAAAGCAGGTGACAAAGTGCCACACGCCTGAGTTCCAGGCTCCAGTCCTTTCCTCCATCTGGGGTCTCCTGGAGATAAAAGCTGGAATTCCCGAGGGAAGGAAGGGTGAGGGCAGCGGGACTTACACCCAGAGGCTCATTTACTCCGGGTTCTGATCATGGAGGAAGGAGCTTTTCCCGGACTTACACCCAGAGGCTCATTTGTGGACTGGCTGCCGCCCGGCCCGGCACTCCGGGTTCTGATCATGGAGGAAGGAGCTTTTCCATTCCTTCTGGGAAAGAAGTCTGGACCCTCCAAGGAAGGAGAGGACCTTGGCCCAGGGTTGCAGAGACAGAAGGACCGAGGTTGAGGGCAAGAGGGAACACTGTGGAGATGCCCCACAGACCGTAGGGGTGGGTGCTGGGCCCGGTCTGAGCCCGACTCAGCCCAGCTCCGCTCCCTTCTCCGCCGCCCCAGGGATGCCCGTGGATGTGAACTCAGCTGCCTTCCGCCTGTGGCAGATCCTCAACGGCACCAGCTTCCATGGTTGCATCCGAAACCTGTACATCAACAACGAGCTGCAGGACTTCACCAAGACGAGGATGAAGCCAGGCGTGGTGCCAGGCTGTGAGCCCTGCCGGAAGCTCTACTGCCTGCACGGCATCTGCCAGCCCAACGCCACCCCGGGGCCTGTGTGCCATTGTGAGGCTGGCTGGGGGGGCCTGCACTGCGACCAGCCAGCCGATGGCCCCTGCCATGGCCACAAGTGAGCGCAGGGCCCGCCCACCCGCAGGCTCCCTTCCCTTCCGCACAATTCCTCTCCCCTGTAGTGAGCAAACACTACTTTTAAAACCTCCAAATTGGAATATGTGGCCTGAAACAGGGTTTTATTATTTTTTTCTGGTTTTCAGTTTTTAGTAAGAGGAAGGATCCCTGGGGACGAGCACAGACTCACAGTTTGCTCCTGTGTTTCAGTCTTGGGAACAGGATACCACCCCATGATGCTAGGGCTGGGAATGTGGGGTACCCTCGGGTGGGCCTTGGCTTGGCCCTGGCCTGTCCTCACAGGGCTTTTTCTCTGTCCCCTCCAGGTGTGTCCACGGGAAATGCGTGCCCCTCGATGCTCTTTCCTACAACTGCCAGTGCCAGGATGGGTACTCGGGGGCCCTGTGCAGCCAGGCTGGGGCGCCTGCAGACCCGTGTGGGGGCCTGCAGTGCCTGCACGGCCACTGCCAGGCCTTGGCCACCGCAGGGGCACACTGCATGTGTGACCCTGGCTTTTCGGGCGACCTTTGCGAGCAAGGTCAGGGGCCCCCCTCCTGACGTGCCCTCTCCAGGGTCCCTCCCCACAACTGGCTTTAGCAACTTGGTGTTTTCTCCCTCCCAGCCTCAGCAGCCCCTCCATGACCCTGCCCCATTCCTGCATCTTAGGCCGCTGCTGGGCTTTAGTGCCCTACCACCCCCTCACCCCATGCCGTCTGGGCTCTGAGTCCCAGCCCCAGACAGGTCCTTGTCTCTCCCTGGCTCAGCTTTCCTTGCTGCCCCACCTATCGGGGTAAGTGCCCCTCTGGCTGGGGTCTCTCCTTGTAGAAGAGACCATTGGGTAACAGCTCCTGCCCAAACCTCTGCATCTTGGCCCTACCGCCTCGGGACCAGGGAGCAGCAGGAGGTCTGAGGGTCACAGACTCCTTCTCAGGCCCTCCCTGGTCCATGTGACCAAGATGCTTCTGCTCGAATAGGAACTGCTGAGGGGGGCAGGGGGAAGCCTTGAGAAATCCAGAACCCAACTCCTCTAGCTACAGGGAGCCCACCTGAGCCCACGGCCATCTGTCCTGTGGGGCCCTGGCAGCTAGAAAGTCTTCTTTCCCCCTGACCTCCCTGTAGGCCCAGGAGGAAGCCTGTGCATGTGCATGCTGGGCAGGGAGGATGCTGGGGACGAAGTGGGGTCCAAGAGCTAGAGGACCCCGTTCCAAGATGCTGCCTCTCCTCTCCCCTCTCCCCCTCCCTCCTCCGCCTGCTGCCCTGGGCAGCGCTGACCCACGGGTATGCCCTGAGGCTTTGTCTTGGTGTCTGTCCCATCCAGAGTCCGAGTGCCGGGGGGACCCTGTCCGGGACTTTCACCAGGTCCAGAGGGGCTATGCCATCTGCCAGACCACGCGCCCACTGTCGTGGGTGGAGTGCCGGGGCTTGTGCCCGGGCCAGGGCTGCTGCCAGGGCCTGCGGCTGAAGCGGAGGAAGTTCACCTTCGAGTGCAGCGACGGGACCTCCTTTGCCGAGGAGGTGGAGAAGCCCACCAAGTGTGGCTGTGCCCTCTGCGCATAGCGCCCAGTGCCAGCAGGGAGGGCGAGGGCTGGTGAGGGGCGCGGCCACGAGGGGACCTGGGCTGGGGTCGGTCCATCACCGGGGTGGCTCCTAGGACCGGGGCAGCCTTTCTCGAGCATACCGCTCACAGCTGGGGGCCGAGAAGGCGGCTGAGGCCTGGGTGCAGAACACTCTCCGGAAGTGCCTTGCACAAAGAGGCGCTTAATAAATATTTGTTGAATGAATGTTTGCGTGAGGTCAGGCCGAGAAGTGCATAATGGTGACACTCCCTCCTTGCCTGCTACCTGGGGCTGAAGAAGGGACTGGCCCCTTCCCACACCAACCTTTCTCTCTTGTCTGAGGTCCGTGCTGGCCCCAGAGCCCCTTGCTCCCTGCAAATAACCTTGAATGACTCTCAGCCTCCCCTGGGGCAGCCAGCCTGGCTCTCAACTCCCGCCGCCCAGCACCTTCAGGCAGTAGGCCAGGATGCAGCGGGGAAGGGCCCCCTCCTGCTGGCCAGGAAGGGACTGACACTTGCCCCTGGGCTGATTGGCAGCACAGCCACTTCTCCCTCGGGAACAACACTGGGGCTGGAGGTGGGTCCTTGGACCAGACCTCTGAATCCTAAAGTTATGGGACCATTGTAGCTTCAAGGAGGGGGCTCACGTGGAAGAAACGGTCACTGGGACTGCTTGGGGTGGGGACCCCGCCAAAGAGGACAGGGGGGTTCTTGTTTCCAGCTGGATAAATATCACCACCTCCAGACACGAGCCACCAAAGGGCCATTGGTCCTGCCACCAACCGGCCATGAGCTGCTGGCAAGCCACTGGCAGGGGTAGAACAGTAGGGCCAAGGAGGGGGCTCACGTGGAAGAAACGGTCACTGGGACTGCTTGGGGTGGGGACCCCGCCAAAGAGGACAGGGGGGTTCTTGTTTCCAGCTGGATAAATATCACCACCTCCAGACACGAGCCACCAAAGGGCCATTGGTCCTGCCACCAACCGGCCATGAGCTGCTGGCAAGCCACTGGCAGGGGTAGAAGGGCCAGGGCCAGGGCGAGAGCTCCTCCTGAGGAGACAGGGTCCCCTCGTGCTGCAGACCAGTGGGGAACAGTGGTCCATGCATCAGAAACCTCCACTGGCTCTGTCGCTCTGGGCAAACTCCTTCCCCATGGGCCTCGGCCTCCTCAGCTGTCAAATGGGGAGGTGGGGTGACTGAGGCAGTGGAGACTCTCCCACTGTGGCTCCAGGAGGGAGGCTGCGGGAGTTGGATCTATTTTCATTAATCACATCAACAAGTATTTATGTGCCTGACTGGGGCTGGGTACTGGGGGTGTTCTGCTCTCACGGACAGATGCCAGCTAATCACAGCGCATCACGGGAGTGACCAGGAAGAGTTGAGCCAAGTGACGGCTCCAACTGCAGACACGGCCCCCGGCTGGAGTTGCTCACCCTGGGCGTCTGCAAGGAAGGACTCAGTGTTTGAAGAGTCACCGAACACGTGACTGTGCAGCTACAAATGCTTTTCTTCCATGCAGAATGAAAAAGTAGATTATCTTTGAGCCTAAATAGTGAGCTGGCTGGAAGACAGGTCACACTCTCCTGTCGCAGATGTCTCCCCAGGAGTGTGCCCCTGGGGGATCCTGGTGGGCAAGTGGGGTGAGCACACCCCTTTTTCGGCTCCTTCTATCTGCAGACAGAAGGCAGGTTTGGGGGCGTGTGTGGGGTGGGGTTGGGGTGGCATGGCGCCTGTGTTCTCAGCCACTGTGGTGGCACAGGGAGCCCTTGCTGCTGAGTAGTAGAGGGCTGGAGCCTCTTGCGACTCTGGGACCCTGGCATGTCCCCTAAGCCAAGACTCAGGCCAGTGAGTTTGTGTCCTGGGACCCCTGTAATGGGAAGAGGAACCTGCCCTATCATCCTGGGGAGGTGCCCTCTTGGCTGAGTCTGCCCCTTTCCTGTCGCTCTGGGCAAGGCCGTGGCACCACTGCCCCCTGCGGATAGCAGCCTGGGCCTCGCCGCATAGCATCCCTCTCTTATCTGGAGTTTCTGGGCCACTGAGGGACCCTGGAGAGCAGCTAGCACCAGGCTGGACAGGCAGGAAAGCTCACATGTAGCTAGTTTGTTCCTTCCATGGAAGAGGTGTTCTGGGACCCACCAACCCTGAGAAACGTACCTTCCCCTGGCCACCACCATTCCCCATTGCCCTGGAGAAGCAGCTCCCTGGGCTTGAGGGGCCCTGACTGCAAGGGGCCTCTTTACTTTGCAGAAAATGGAAAGGGCACCTACAGACAGGTGGTGGCTGCCTAGAGTCTTGCAGCCCCAGGGCTACGGGGTAAGGAGGGCAGAGGATGGGGTGCTCACAGGCAGCACCCTGGCCCCGCTTGCCCCTCCATAATGCCCCGCGTCCCAGCCCAGCTCCACACTCACCCTCGGTCGAGCTGGAGGATCGAGAGCCGCCATAGGGTGAGGGCAGCAAGGGGCGAAGGCAGCCAAGTGCCCCAGGACCAACTTTTCCTCAACTTAGCCACCAACGTGCAAGTTGCTAAGGACCTGGATTCCCGCTCATCTTGCCTGTTCACGTTTGGCCCCGTTGAGTCCCAGCAGGCTACCGTGAAGTCATCTGTTTGAGAAGTCCTCACCACACCTTGCCACCCCTTTGGTGAAGACCTTCCGTTCACTTTGGTGTCGCCATTGGCTGTTTCCATTACACACGCCCTGAAGAGACACAGGCAGGCGAGTCCTGAGGTCGCTGCTGCTCCGGCGGCACCAGCGGCAGCAGCGGCCCGGGCTCCCTGTGACGCTGTAAGGAGATGGAAAAGGCCGGACTTTGTCTCCTCTTTGCCTGCTGTTAGCTTAACCACGAAAGTATCTCTTTATACAGAATACTTAACAGATTCTAATATATATTTGTATTTCATTTTGTTATAGTATTTTTATATGTTAAAGTCAACATCCAGTGTCTCGTTTGATTTTCAGATGCTCTGTGGTTGTGACACTCTGTTTGGGGATTTCTGTAGCCTCGTTTGGGTCACTCTTTAGAGAGACTGGTTTAGAACAGGCCTGTGAGGGAGACACACTTGCCCTTTGCCTAGAAGTGTTGTTTTTAGAACATGTTGGATATTGTCTGTTGTCTTCTATGTGAACATGACATTGATTCACTCAGGTTCTGCCTTCTTGGTCTCTTTTTCTGCCCTGAGGATGAGCCAGGGCTGGCGACGTGCATCCTCCCCAGTTCGAGGGTTTCTGGGTGGCCCACACACCAGCCACCATCCAGGGATGGCACCCAGAAGCAGCACGTGTGGGACGTCTGCCCTTGGAACTCTCTGGTCTTCCTGAAGCGGCAAAGGAAGTCCGTTCCTAATGCAGAAGGAAGGGAAGGTCTAGGGGATGGGCTGGTCATAGCTCCCCGGGGGGATGTCCTTGTGAGGACAGAGCCTGGCACGGCACGGCACACGCAGAGATCCGGGAGGGTGCTCGTCCTCATCTCCCCTCAAGCGTCTGCCATTCCACCCACGTTTTGTAAGTTTGCGTATAGAGCCACATTCATATTTACTCTGGCTCTGAAGGCTTCAGAGCGTCAGGATAACAGATGAGAAACGCAGCGAGGCTTCTCAGGCTGTCTCATAAGGTTAACCTGCCTGTCGCCGGAACAGCAGTTCTCAGGGAATCGGTGGAGAAAGGAGGCGAACATACTTCTACAGTGGTTCTGGTACGATTTCAGACTACGTACACAACTGCATGCAGGAGCTTTGTAGGATGAGCACCTAAGGGAGGCTAGGCCCCGACGGTCGGGCGAGGCCTGGCCCCTGAGCTAAGGGGCCCCGGCTGGCCTCCCTCTGATGTCAGGACCACAGACTGATTTCCCACTAGAAGACCAGGCTGAGGTGATAGTCATACAAGCTGCACTTTGTAGCACATGGTCACCTTGAAAGCAAGCAGGGTAGGAACTGCAGTGCTTTTAAGGCAATTAGGGATTTTGGAGGAAATGTAATGAACCAGGTACATGAGCGAAAATGACTTAGAAGAGGGTTGGTTGTAAGCTCAAGTGTCTAGAGTGGCCAGTAGGTTACCAGAGAAAGTCAAGAGGACACATGCCCTTCTGGCCCATCATTTGTATTGCCACTTCCGACAAAGCAGCAGCTACAGAGACCTATTTCTCTACTGGAAAAAACGGGGGTGGGGGGGTGGGGAAAAATGGTCACTAACAGGGATAGTGATGACTTGAAGGGCATGTTTTCCAATCTTCTAAGCTCTAGCTGAATCTTACCATGCACAAATTGGGTCAGATCTTCATTATCTTTTTATTTTTATTTTATTATTTATGCCTACAGCACCCGGTCTCCCTAGGTGGTCTCCTGTCCAAGTACTAACCAGGCCCGACCCTGCTTCCGAGATCAGACATCAGGCTTGTTCAGGGTGGCATGGCTGTAGACCATGGACGGTAACTCCACTGGGGCACGAACCCAGGACCTTCTGTGTGCAAAGCGGACGTGCTAACTGCTGCACTATGGAACCACATCCTATCTTTTTTAAAAGAGAAGCCTGAAGTCAACATTTATGTAAATACTCCGTTTTTAAATATCTATAAAAAACACAAATGATGGGCCACTAGTTTGCAAAGTGAAAGTAAATTAAGCAGCTCATTTCACAATTAAAAGCAAATCTCCAGCCCAGGGGAGGTCACCGCAGAGCTTGGTTGGGGGGTGGAGGCAGTAGGACTGCCCAGGCTTCCACCTGAAGTTGCCAGGTTTTCCTGAGATGGGTGATAATGCATCTATCGTCCCTGTAATCCAGGCCCTCAGAACTAATTTTAGAGATTATCCCTCACCCCAAGCCCGTTTGCACCTCTCAGGTCATAGTCTAGTTATTCTACCACAGGATGAATATTGGAGGAAAAGAGGTCTATTTTAAGGATGGAAACTCTTCATCTGGAACAAGATAATTCTCCAAATTCAAACTGAGAATGGGTGGCCTGACCGCCAGCGGCCAGGTCATTTTCACTGGGAGTAGTTCTGCATGTTAATGGCCGCGGTCAGACTAACTTGTTAATGAAATCACTGCTGATTCCATAGGAATCACTGGCCCACTGGGTCCTTAAATTGACCCATCCCAAGTAGAGCTGAAAGAATATAATGAAACAGGTCATGAGGCAAGTGAATGGAAGGATTGCTGGCCATCTTTTGGCCACACCCCAAACGGGCTACAGAGAGCTTAGGGCAGCCTTCCCTGGTGGCTGTGCCTATCACCCCCTTATGTAACTGTGGCTTACCAAAGGTCGGGAGCGTGAAGAATTCAACTGCTCCCTGCCCCTCAGGATAGAGCACTGGCACCTTTCCAACTCTGCCACGAGAATTCCCTAAGATTCACCCACTGTGTTTTCTTTTTCCCTGAAGTTTAAGCGCAACCCATAACATGGCCCTAGACCCAGCAAACAATGCTCCTTTAAGTCCTGATACAGGGGCCGAGGCAGGAGCATTAGTAAGTCTTGCTTTTTGATTCCTTCTGGCAACTTATCACCTTTGCTTTAGGCTACGAGTCGAATGCTGGGCTTCGACGCATTTGGTACCCTCTCCAGTGACCACATGAACACACTTTAATATCAAAGAAGTTTAATACGCTGCAATAAAATAAGCGCCTAGAAAAAGCTCATGGAATAGATGTCAATGTTAGAGAAACCCCTCCCACACATCCTCTAGCTCCAAACCCCATCCCTCAAAACCAAACAAGAAAATCTGA